ATATGTATGTATGTTTTTATCTTTAAAAAGAAGTATGAGTGTTAACAGTTTGCTGGTATAAAGTTCGCTGAGACTTTTTAACGGATTTTGATGAAATTTGGTATACAGGCAGGGTATGGGCCGACTTAGATTATAGGAGATTTTTATCCCGATTAAGTGGTCCCATGGAATAAAATAGGTATCATATTCCACGCTTACGAAGTCACGGACAACAGCTAGTAATAATATATCTAAAAGCTTCCAGAAGTTACTGTTTTCATGAAAGCTTTTTTGGGTACTCAATTCTTTCAAAAGTATTCGTTGAATATAAACTTTTTAGCAGCTACATTTTTTTACAATTTATAGTTTTTATTTTACAACCTACAAACCTTGGAGTAAAGTATTACCTACTTTATTTTCCTTCATTCATTTAGATCATCAAAATAAATACATTTAAACTACAAAAAATTACATGTTATTAACAAAACAACTAACAATTTCCTGATCTTTCCGATTCAGTACAAAATAAATAACATCTATCATCAAATAAATACATAATTCAACTACTACTTAAATTGTGCACAAACTACTTAAATCAAAGACTCATTTTAAACTAAGCTTCTTCATGAAACTGTTAATTAATGTTCCTCTCAGACTAGCTATTAAACTGCGACGTGCAATCCATATTAATATCAAAACTTCGTCAATAAAGGAAAATAGAAGAAAGGACTTCAAAATATTTAATCCGTCGATCGTGTGCACCAAACTTTATACATCCATCCTCTCAAATTATAACTTTCTTTCCTCTGAATGAAAAAGTTATGGCGAGTCAGTATTTTGTATCCTTTGGGTAAAATAAACAGTCGTAAAAATGTGTCGGACCTTGTTAGTCTGTGACACAATCTTCAATGAACGCTACCGTAACAAACTTTTTTTATAAAGCTTCGAAATTTAAATTAAATTTGGAGTTTTTTTTAATGTTGGTTTAAATTATTATGTTTAGAATTCGAATATCACTATATTGGGTTTAGTGTGTCTTATAAAGGAATAAAAAATAAATAGTTTTAAAAACTTATTACAAAAACTTGTTACAAAGCTTCTATTTTGAACTACAATCTTTTTAATTTAACTTTGATGTGGCTATTTAAAAAATATTAACCAAAACCCACGATAAAAACAATGTTCTAATTTGGTAAAAAATAATACAGTTTCATTCATCAATAAAGAAATATAAATAATAAACTTACCGACTGCAACTCGATCACTTCAAATAACGGAAAAACTTCAATAATACGATATCATTAGAGCATTTTTAACTTTAGAACATAAATCACGAATTATTCCCGCGTAAAATAAAATAAAAAGGTCCAATATTTATTCTTTACAATTTATATTCTTGGCGTCGAGTGTCATGCGTTCCGTTGTACGAGTGGTGAGAGTGGGTCGCGCGCGCGGGCTCCGGCGAGTAAAGGCGGCAACACACTGCGAGAGCGGCGGCAGGCTGCGCCAGTGCCCCCTCCGGCTATCACTCTACTTTCGGTTATTCTCTCGCCTCCCTCGAGACAGAGACCGATTTATCACGGTGGCGTATCTGTGTTAGCTCCCAGACAATCCAGACTCGACTCGAGGTCTGCCGTGCAATCTTTCTTATACAGATCACCTACGTACCGCAACAATGTACTGGTTGCTTCAAAGAAACGTCACTGACCGCATAATGCTGCAGATAATGAGTCTGGAGGCAGACAAAAATTATTCGTTAGCCGAAAAAGGCGATTTAGTTGCAATCGGGGCGGGCTTAGCGAAATCATTAATTTTATCAGATTCTTAACTGTATCTTGCGTGACAGGTCGTTGCCCTCGGTGGTCCAGTTACGGTCCAAACATGTAAAATACTCATTAGTAGAAAACAATCCGTTGTAGAACATAGCATTAACGTTTTTGTGGTTAAGCTTTAATTCTGTAATTTATAGTTTCAATTAGGATTTGGGATGGTAGTGACTGGAATCCGAATTAGTTGTATAAGCATAAGTAATGGGTGCTTACATTTTTTTGGGTCATGGTTCTGGGAGTAATTCCTGGTTCATAAATTAGGATCAGAGTGGCCTAATACAGTGAGCGTATGGTGGAGGGATCATGGAATAATCACTAATAAAGGAGAGAGTCGATGAGCCGTTTAATATATTTATCAGTGTGGTGCAATGACCGATATGAGGTGCAGATTCACGATTGACCTAATTTCTTCGTGGCTGCTATTGTTGTGTTCAGACGGACGAAAGTAAATTTCTCCTAATGGGTCAACCTGAATACATCATAAGTGACCACATTAGTATGTACCGGACGTGTGGACATGTAAATGTTTATACGTCTGTCGACAATATCTATTTGTGAAGTATATTATTGTTAATTAACTTATGTTCTTAAGAAGTTTGTCCGTATAGAGATTTTGAGTATTTTGTAAAAAGTTTGTATCTATTTTTATTTTGGTTTGGAAATGAATACTGCTTGACTGTCTCGTTTGACGAGTTGTCATAAGTAAGAATATCGAATCCAACATTTTGGGTTTAATCTCAGACAAATTGGAAATCCGCGATACAGCACCTAAATATTCAATTTTGTTAAAAGGTACATACTGAAGTACTAAAGTTTTATTTTTTTCTGCCTACCGCATTACAAAACAACAAATGTTTCAATAACCATGTTTCCATTCATTCAAATTAACAGATCAACAATATTGTTTATTTTTTCGTATATTTTTGGTACTGATCTGAGCTTTTCGATGAATATTAAAGCCTGGCAAAATGCCAACACATTATTCAAATATGGAAAATGCAAATAAAAATCTTTTTACATACATATTTCGAACATGTAGTTTAACAGCTTTTATTTATTGTTATTGCTAAAGGTAATATAAGTAACAACTTGTAATCGTAGATGAAATTCAAAATTATGACTAATAATTTTTCAATGCCCTATTTAAGTAACAACCAACCCTAATAACAAAACTTAATAAGCAAACATAACACATAAATACAAACAGTAACAGTAGGCAATTGTTTGCAGAAAATAAGTCAGGAAGTTCGACAATCCTATCCTTATTTTTACGCAATCAAGTCGAAGGTCTCCGAGGGTCAGTTTGAGAATGATTGAATAAGTTACAAAAGGCAAAGTTACCCAGTTTCCATTAACCAAAGTCACCATTTTGTTATTGAAATTAGAAACAGAAAGCCTTTGATCCTTTCGATGACTTTTCTATTCCGAATCTCTATGTAACCCATTCATAACTTTCGTCTCTCGCTATTTACATATTTGGTTTTCTGCTACAGACCTTTTGATGTCGTCTAAAATGAAATCAAATGATTTTTGGATGACTATTTTGAGAGCTTAAATTAAAATTAAAGGGTAGAAAGTGAAAAAACCTTGTAACTATAACAGCGTCGAAATTAAATATACCTTTGTGTATACTTCAACATTACACGGATGATCAATAATATAATTGTCTGATGATGATGGAATTTCATTAAGTGTCTAAATCCGAAATATTAAAAATATTAAAATTCGCCAAAGAACAAGAGTTACCGACATTGCTCGCAAAATCTGCAGACTAAAGTGGCAATGGTTAGGCCACGTCGCTCGAAGGACTGACGGCAGATGGGCCAGGAAAGTTCTTGAGTGGAGACCACGGACCGGAAGACGAAGTGTGGGGCAGGCCTCCGCTAGGTGGACCGACGACATCGCCAGAGTTGCGAGGAGCCAGTGGATGCGGGTGGCGAGTGGTTGTTCAACGTGGAGGACTAAGGGGGAGGCCTTTGTCCAGCAGTGGACGTCTTCCGACTGTTGATGATGATGATGATTAAGTGTCCTTTTATACCAAAAAGATAAAAGGTACTAATAATTGTTACAAATACAAAAAGGTTTCGTATAGCTTCACACATATCTATCAACAGACATGAATTGTGATGTGAACAGTGATGAATTTGTCGTCAGTTTATGATTAAATTCATACTAAAATATTAGGTAATCAATGGTCAAAAGCCAGACGAAAAATACAAACAAAATAATATTTGCCAAAGGATATACGGTACGAACTGTATAATCTGCACTAAAGCAACAAAGAGGTCCCGACCTTCGTAATCATGTCCACAAAAGCTTCCCACGAGAATTTTAAAAAGTAACTTCAAGTAAAAACCACAGAAATGTCCTTCATCTAAAATTTAAAACAGCTGCGATGTTAATTGCTGGCGGTGAACCGACTCTTTATAGTACACATGAAATGTTAGACGTCGCAATTGTTCGCGTAAAAACACACAATAGCTAAAAATAATGTAAAAGTAGCGAATGTGTAATTCACTTTTTCTTTATCTTTAGAAGTTTATTTCGTTAAACAAAAATACAACATGCTGTATATGATAGGCATATGCTTATTTTTTTTAAACCTGAATCAACTAAAGATTTCGGTAGACAAATGTTTGGGAAGTTAATTATTTCGTATGTTAACAAAAAATTATTTCCAGCGATTTTACAACGTAATCATAATCAATAAATTATTACGTTTTCGACTTACTCACGCATTTCGCGACCCGTGACGCAGCGACTGTGGCGCTGCTACTGGTTACTCGAGTCTGCTGCTCATGAATATGAGCCTCTAGCATGTGTGAAACTAGTCGAGTTCCTCGTCAAATTATTACGTGAGTAAGCCGAAAACATAATAATTTATTTAGTATGTCTCACGAAAGTTACAATACAAGTAATCATAATCGTTTAATAACATTTACATTAGAAACGTAACGGTTTATATTAACTGATGGACATAACATAACTTCACGCCTGTTTTCCCCGAAGGGGTAGGCACTAGGCAGATATGCACATTACGGCACTTAATGCCATTGTCTATGTAACACCCACTTTTCATTATGTATGTTATGAGTCCCATGTAATAGGGTGTGAGCCTATTGCCATATACCGGGCACAATTCCAAACCCTGCGCTACCACTGACATTTTTTTTAACAACCCGAGACCTCTTGCCCGATAGTCGTACTTGCGACTATTCGGCCAATGAGGCAGCTTGGAAATATCGATTATAAAATTACATGTAAATTACAATTTAAACTAAACAAATGGCTTTCATCGATAAAACTCCTAAAAAGCCTGTCAACTCATCTGTAAGAAGGTTCCAGACGTTACAGTGGCTACCGACTAAGCTATGCAAGTCACGTCTTCCTGAATATATGGAAATTAGAGGACTCGAACCGCCCCCGACTGTTCCCTAGTAATTCAGTGATCTATTAACAAATGCCGTGACTTGATTAGGGCCCGATTTGTAAAAGAACAATGCCTACAGGGTCACGAGGTTGTACTAGAGTACCTCTCAACGTTCCATTTAAAATAGGCATAAGGCGTATTTATCATCACAGGTATAAGTAACAGGTGTTACACTGATACTGGATAACAGTTGGTCTCGCGGATAAATCGCAACAGAAGTCAAACTCAAATAACAGCCTGTTATGTAATTATATTTTATCGGAATTAACAGATATGCCAAAGAGTACAACAGTATCAATCTGTATTCTCAATATCTTATTTAATACATAATAATTATTTAATAAACTACCATTAATTAATATTTAAGCCCCTCTTTTTTAAAATCGTTTAATATACTAAAACCTTCTCCTAAGTAGAAACACTTTTTTGAAAACTGCATCAAAATCGATTGTAAACAGTGATTTACACGGAACAGTTACAAAAATAACAGGTATCGTACTTGACCTGTTACAGCCCAAGTCTAATTTAAATCTCAAGTGATTAAACCTCCCTTCTCTGTACTAATGAGCTTGGCCAATTTCGTAATAAGCATTTTAAAGTATTTACTTGACGCTGTGACATTTGAATTGAGCCTTCATTTGGAGTAAAGGGCCTATAATATGTACAAGAATACATATACATAAGCATGGATTATATTTGTGTTTTGAAATCTACTTATTTATCTATGCGATACACAATTTTTATTTCAATCCTTCGCTTTACATTTTGCTGTAAAACACTTTATTATGGCATTTTAAAAAGTGGTTTCAAAATGACAACCGGCTTATAAAATCTCAGTTAATTGTCACAGTTCCGACTACATTAGTATGGAGGTTTCTCTTAAAGCATTATACACATAGATAGAAATTATCTCTAGAGGTATAATCTTTCAAGGAAACTTCCTCCCAAGACTTCCAAGTAGATTATCGAAGTGTGAAAAGACGCTATCCAAGCAGGCCACACCGCCCGCCGTGCCCAGGGGAAATCTAACGCGCTTGCCACAACCATGAACTTCATGATAAGATATAAAACCTCTGCGACCTTTATTTTCTCCTCGTAATTACATGTCACGCCATTATCTTTGAATAATGCTGGCCAGTAACTATCCCTGGACAGGGACTGTTGCACTATATTTAGATTTTGTATGACATTGTAAAATTGCAACGTTTTTCTTCCAGTTGTGGTGCATGGATAGTAGATAGTTGTGTTGTTATTCCGTGTTATATTTGTTATGTGATGCTACAGTTACGTAATTTTACAGTATATTTTAGACTAGCGACCCGCCCCGGCTTCGCAC